GTGTGATGCTAAACAGTGAGAAGATCAAAATGCAAATGAACCGTGGACATCCCGCCAACCTTACGTTCCAGATGAAGTATAGATTGAGAGATAATGCAGGTCAAGTGCNCACTGAGCCGGGCGACTAGTGTTTGAAAGTCCGGTTAGGCTAGGTTATTGGGTGCCCAGGGGCTCTAACCGAGACCGAGACCGGTTAGGGTTCGTTCCCAGACCCAAAATAACCTAACTGGACCGAAGATAACCGATGAAAACCGGTTAGTTGCAGTTACTAACCGGTTAGGACCGAAAAAATAGAAAATCGATTAAAACGGCGTATATTTCTCATATTCCTTGCAGTAAACATTATTGCCATGCGTCGTAGCTTTAAAACAAGCCCAAGAACGCTAAATTCGGTGAAGAATTGACAATTTTATAATAATATTCTTGAAAGCCTACTATTTTAGCCAATAATTTAGAGATTTGACCATAACTCTGTCAGATTTTTAGCGTTTCTCATGCTTTTAGATGCGTTTTGAAGGGGTATAATAGGGTCGGTTGTAACCGGTCATAACCGGTTTTTTAACGGTTAGTTAACCGCAAAATAACCGGTTATTTCATTTCCAGAATTGACTAACCACTAACCGCGGTCCGGTTTTTTTGCAGTTAGGTCCGGTCTGGTCTCGGTTATTTTCCAGTTAATTAACCTAACTTCCAAGCACTACGGGCGACCGACCGAGCATCCATGAGGTCGTGAGAATTCTGTCCGGACCATCTTACCGAGGACATCCACCGAAAACCTTAATTTTCGGGGCCTGTTCAGGTTGGGTTACTGGGACCGTCTGACCCCCCGAAGAGTCGGCTACTAGCCTTGAGGCTGGTAGCCTGAGAACGATCACTGCGTCATTCGGCAAAGCCCGTCAGCTCATCAGAGACTCCGCTCTACACAAGTCTACACAGCAACTTACATAGATTTTTTGTCGGGACAACCTACATATCAAAAAAAAAAGCCATGAATTTCGAAAACAGGGATACTTTCAAATTTCAAACGACTGTTGTGAAAGATACCTCAATTTTTTCTATAAATGACAGTGACGGAATCAACACCACCAAACAGTTACCAAATAGAGTGTTAGAACTTAGCGCTGTATACGCTTTATGATACGCATTTTGTGGCGACGGTAACGGATTTCACGAGGAATAACTTTACATTGTTCTAATACAAGTGGATAGTGAAAGGTATAAAGAAGAACTTACAAAGTCAAGCTAAGCATCAACCAATCAACAACCAATAACCACAAAACTAGCAAGTAACAAGTCCAGCACCCAACTTAAGCATGATGCATGATGTATTATATGTGTCTAATGCATTCAATGACTCTTCATATATGTGGAACTGAATGTTTGCGAGCAGTGTGATAATTACAAGAGGCTCGGAAACGAGACGCGACATGATACATTACAGTGCCTTGCATAATGCTTTGCAGCGTGAATTTTTTGAAATTGTATTTGGCTGTGTTTAAACTGGTCCTGAGATGTCACATTCAGGCTTATTCCGGACAGGGATCATTTCGTTGGGCCTTAGTTGTGACATATCAGGTTCACTACAAATATAATCAAATATGATTTGAAAAAATTCATGCTGCAAAGCATTATGCAAGACACTGTAACGCGACGGACCCATCACTACGTCACGTTCAGCTATGGCCGCACGTGAGGGCATCAGCGGCGTTTTCCGAGGGAGCGTCCAGGCTTGTAGCACGAG